AGCCAGGGATGACTGAATTTCGAAAGAGGAACTAAAGTTAAGATTTTCTCACCTGCGAGGGGTAGCAGCGAATAGGTTAAGCTGATTGTCGCCTGCCCTCAACACTGGTCTTCAGTTCTGAAATCTGCAACAGAGAACGAATGTTGCACTTGGGTCAGAGCAGAGGACGAGCCTGCCTTGATATGGTAGGTGATAGGACTAGACTTGCCCGCTGGTTGGAGAGTAGAAGAATGGAGAATAGGCCCTAACTCAGCTAAAGGCACTCCGCTAATACATTTGCAAGAGAAGGTGTTGTGTACCATCGTGTTCGGGTTCGGTGACCGAACGAGAACAAGCTCCAAACCCTCCGAATGCGAACATAAAAGTATTTAAAAAAGAAAACCAAAAATTCTTAGAAAAATATGAAACAATATATGTTATGTAAAATAAAATTACAAACAACTTTTGTCGGGGAGGTATGATTAAATTCGTAACCAAACTCGAGTAAAGAATCAAAACCCAAAAAAAAAGTTCTTTTTTTGTTTGTTTTTTTAATATGTTCGGCTGAACACATTCGGGAGGTGTTCGGCCGAACACCCGAACATGTTTGGACGTTTGGAAAAGCTCCGAACATGTTCGGTGTGCTACACGGAGAAGGTGTTTAACTCCACCCTGGGTTGTGGGAAGGTGTGATCGGCTTATAAACAGACGGTCATGTTGGGAGAAGCCGAAAACTTTCGAGCGGAACCCCTCCTCTTGGGGCGAAAGCATGGAGACCAGGGCAGGGAAGTAGTTACTCCCCTGTGTCCGTATGCACCCAAGGTGAGTATGAGGGCTCTGAGATCGAGAGTCACCAACACTCCAGGAGACATGGCCAGTCGCAAGTTCCAAAAGATGAAGGGGTCGTCTGTCCAGACTCCCAACTGGCCGACACTATGGTTGGCTCTGAAGAAAATGTTGTCACAATGCAATGCCAGCTTATTATGGTTACAGAGCTTGCAAGTGATTCCCACGACCATGTGGCTGAACTCCAGAGTCCAGAGGAATGAAGCTTTCAGATACATGCTCCAGGTGCGAATGAGAGTGGGAATCCAACGCACATCTCTGGGTTCAGTGTTGCTGATGGATAAAGTCTGGCAATGGTGGGCAGACCTATGGCAACACAATACTGATTCCTTTGCATGGACAGACGAATGAGTCTTGTTTGGCTCGTTTCCGTCCCCAGGCTTCAACTACTCTGAAGGTTGGGGATACATGGCGCTGGTCTGCAGGGAAGTAATAATGCAGGAAATTTGGAGAGCAAGGAAGTTCAACAGAGCTGTTTTCGAGGGCGAGAAGGTCTCGAGCTTCGAGGACCAGGCCCAAATTCTCTTGTCGGTGAGAATGGTGATTGGCGTAGAGTGGAAACGCTCCACAAGCAAAGGGCGGTGAGGCAAGCCTTGGTTTGCGAGGTCTTGGGCGAGAGAAGGCGACGTGACCTCCCTGTCTACGGATGGGGGGCAGGAGCTCAAACCTTGGCTGCATCCTTCATAATAACAATCGGCTTTAGGGGGTTGTGTTAGATTTGCCGCGGCGCGGGCTTAATTGCGGTGAATCTAGGATTAGTAGTTGTGCTGCTTTGGTCTGTTTTCGAATGATTGCATGATTTCGAAAAAAACTGTTGTGTTTGTCAGATGTGTCAAAGTAGATGTCAAGGAGTACTGGGATGGGATGTCCTTCCCCCCCTGCAACTCCTCGTTTTCTATGCTTCATGGTTTACTTGGAAGAATTCCTTACAAAGAACTGAGGATAGCGGGTAGATGGGACGCTGGACCCGATTTCCTGCACCAGCCTACTCTGGGTATGGGCCCCAGCTATTTCCGGGTTGCCTGTGAGGATTCCCGGCCTAGGTTTCCAATGTTTTGTAAATAAAAGTTTCTATTTCTTCCCCCCCCCCCCCAAGAAAAAGAAAAGAAAAAAAGGATGCCATTATGTGGATCATTTGGGAGGATCGCAACACCATCCTGTTCAGAAGAGAATGGTCAGCAGAAAAGACAGTCAAGAAAAAGTGCAAATTTTTAACTCGCACTATGATCATTTCTGACTGGCATCGCAAAGCAGACCAAAGCCGATCTCCGGGGGGCTGCAGGTGGGCAAGAAGCTGCGGATTGGCTGCAGTGACACTGGAGGGGAAGTTGGTCCTGTCTCCCTGACTCAGCAAATATGGTAGGGTTAGCAGAGGGAAACGAGAAGTGTGAGGAACAGTGGGGATAACCTGCCCTCTCGGTTGACTAGGACCACAGGAGGTCAAACTCACCCAATGAATAGGTCTGGGGAGTAGAGAGGTGATTTGGGTGGGGTATAGCCGAGTCGAATTAGGCTCAGGGGGTCGCATAGACCTTGTGTAACAGTCATATGGGTGGAAGGTAACGAGTAGGGCTGTTAGGGGTAGGAGAAGGAGATTAGGGAAGGTTAGGAAAGGACAATGAATGGACTAGGAGATTTCGGTTCCAGGGTGGAGAGGTAGGGGTAGAGAATTTTAAAAGCCTTTCTTTGGGACGATTTGGTAGTAGACTGGGAACACGGAATGGGTTTGACGAGATGAAAAGATGGAATTCTGTAGGGGGTAAATCGGGTCCCTATGGGTCCTGCACAGAGCCAAGCTGGATAATGCTCCCAGTCCTTTTCACGAGTAAATGGAATGTGTTCTCTTAAAAAAAGAAAAAAAAGAAAAAAAAAAAAAAAAAAAAAAAAAAAAAAAAAAAAAAAAAAAAAAAAAAAAAAAAAAAAAAAAAAAAAAAAAAAAAAAAAGGGAAAAGAAACACTGCCAAATTTCATCCGTTAAAATTGGAACGATACAGTCTCATCCAGAGAAGATCGGTGTGTTCCTTGGGCGAGTTATTCGTCAGAGGTGTAAGAGGGGTTAAGGATGAACAAAAGAACTGACAGACAACCATCATGGCATGCAAGGGGAATGAACAAATAATTTACAAAAATTGTCTAATTGAAATCGACCACTTTACAAAACCGAGTTCAGATGCCAGAGAGTCTTCAGAACAGTTGAGATCAGAAGAAAATGCAATTCTGGGGTACCCCCCATGCACCGAGGGCACGTGAGGGCGGGCCCGGATTTCACGTGGTGAGTCGCGAACCGCCGATAAAGATCTCAACCGTTCGTCTTGCTGCAGGTACCAGGAACGGAGCGCCGCCGCTGAGCGCGTACGGGAAAAATCGCCACAAGACAAAAGTCACCGTCGAGATCCACCAGCGCAAGAAATAGTAAAAAATCCACGAGTAACCGCGAGCCCAGTCGGGCATAAAAATTGCAGGGCCTCAATAAGGCCTGCCCTGATGAGTTATTCCGGACCCACCCTTTGGGGTGGCGTTGCTGGGTCCTTCCTTGGAGAATGACGACAGGCCTCCAGACCCAGATGCTTGGTGCGGAAAGGGGGCCTCCGATCTCCTTTCTGCTGCTCCTTCTGTTCATAATGCCAGTAGTGGCCTGGCTGGATGGGGACCGCCCCTGTGTCCTGATGCAGGGCCGGAGAGCCAGAACACCAGCCGCCTTGCCAAAGAGCCCGAGTAAGTTCTTGGTTGCCTTGCGTTCTTTCTGGACCCCCCTTGGAATGTTTGCAAATGATGGCATGCGGTCAGGCTATAGCAGCCTTCCATTTCATGAAGAACAAACCTCGCCTTCTATAGTCATCCTTGCGCAGGGGCCATGCTAATCTTCTCTGTATCGTTCCAATTTTTTTTTTTTTTTCTTTTTTTTTCTTTTTTTAATTCTCTCCCTTTTTTATATTACCAAAACGAACATTGAAAAGAGGGCGGGGACCTCACAATTCTACCCGGGGCCAAGTCCCACTTACGCTGATCCTTGATTTTGGGTCGTCGATCTTCCGAATCTGCGGTCAGAAATCGATCATTCGGGTAAGTGGGACTTGGCCCCCGGAGTTATCCTGTCAGGACATAAATACCAGACTAAAACCACAGCCGCTCTTTGCCACAGGTCCTAACTAATACACTAAGAAAAACTAAAATGTACTAACCACACCGCAATAACCCAACTACCTATATTAAGAAACAGTTTCCTTCTTCTCAAATCGGGCCTAAACAGACGGCCCTACGAATGTAACCATTCTGCTATCTTCATCTTCCCGTCCGCTGCAATTGAGGATGTCCCGAAGGACCAGAGAAGATTAGCATGGATATGCAATTTTAACGGATGTCCCGAAGGACCAGAGAAGATTAGCATGGATGACACGCATAAATCGAGAAATGGTCCAATTAAAAAAAAAAGAAAAAAAAAAAAGAAAAGAATTACTTGGGCGTCCACGCACCACTCAGCGATATGCAAACTGAGAAGATATCGCTGAGAACGAATCTCGCTGTTGGATGGGGGAAGATACACGCGCCAGAATCGTCTTCTCTTCATATTTGTTGAGTGGTGCGGCAGGGTCCTCTTGGGCTGGCCGCGGCGCTCACCATGGAGAAGGACAAAATGAATGGCTTTTGTGAATCTTTCGGCGTTCTAGGAGAAGATTCATGTATGAATGGCTTTTGTGAATCTTTCGGCGTTCTAGGAGAAGATTCATGTAGCGTATCTTCCGTCTTTCTAGGGGAAGAGTCATGTCGCGGAACCATTTCCGCAAGTTTTTTCGGGAGGGGGTCAACGAGAGCAAAACCGCAAAAAAAAAAAAAAAAAAAAAAAAAAAAAAAAAAAAAAAAAAAAAAAAAAAAAAAAAAAAAAAAAAAAGCAGAGCCGTCATTTGCGCTTCCGCTCGCTTGATAAAATGGGGTTTGGGCGGCCAAGTTCTGCAGAGACGGCGGGTGTTTTTCGGCTAAGAAGATCAATCCGCCCAGGGAGCGGCCGGGGGCGCATTGGCCGAGGTAGACGGCAGGCGAGCGGAGGGCGCGGAAGGCCGGCAGAGGGTGCGGGCACGGCGGTTTTCAAGCGGCGGAGGGCTTGGTCTTCTCCAGCCTTTTTGAATTCTTTCGTTGGAATCGCCATTGTCTTGGGCGGTGAGAACAGGGAACGGATCGTGCTGACCAATGCCGGCGCTGTGTATACAAAATCATCCTGTCCGGTATATAAGTAGCGGTGACAAACACGCTCGAAGAAGTAGAAGGGGGGAACGAGCAAGCTCCTTTCATCACGTAGTTTGCGCGTGTTGTTTCTGAGCGTCTTCGGGGGGTCTTCTCTTTCCCGTCATCTTTTCTTCGGCTCCTTCTTCTTCTTCTTCTTCCTCTTCTTCTTCTTCTTATATCGCTGGCGCTACCTGTTATCGCCGTCCTGCCGTATTCGTATACGTTGTTGATGTCTATATAGGCGTTAAGTGTGTATTTATATTGTTAGCAATTGTGCCTTCGTTCTAGTACTTAGATCGTAATTTCCGTCAGGCGCGACCCTGCGTCGAAGTCAAATAGTTTTTTCTTCGCTAGAGGACGAGATCGGCGGTGGGCAGTTCTGTGCTGGGTGCTCTGTCGTGAACAGGACTGCGATCAGTAACTGAAAAACTCGTTCTCAGACTATGACTCGTTGATCGACTGAGCCAGAGCTAGTACCGTTTTGCCAGAGGTTTTAACGATAGTGTGATAGGATTAGACGCGCCGTGGGTTTGGCTGTAGGAAGAACAATATAAGGACGAGTAGGGTAGGTGAGGTAGTTCATACGCACGCGGACTCATTAGACAGTCCTTTGAAAGGACTCAGACGGAAGGACTTGGGAGGACGCGTTGTGCGACTGTCGCGTCGGGTAGAATTTTTGTGAACGCGGCCACAGCCCCATCGGTATTGGTGTGATCGGCGATGGCGTCGTGGGACAGGCTTGGTGGCGTGAGGGAGATAGAGGGGGAGGACCGCGCTCCTCAGGAGAGCGGCGGCGGCGGCGGCGGCGGCGCCCGGGGTAGCGGCGAACGAAAGCGCGGATGCAGCGCAGCCAAGTGGTTCCTCGTATCCGTGGGCGTTGTCTTCGTTGTCGTCTTTCTCGTCGCTATTCCAGTCGCTGTAACCAGGGCTCGCCAGAGCGGCCGGAGCAAGCAGAACCTGCAGAGCGCTCCGCTGACGGTGGGTGCTGCGGCGAATCAGACCTGCAAAGGCAGCGATGATTTCCAGCTGTGTCTGAACACCCTGCTTTACTACAGTGATGGCAACAGTCTGAACCTGAGCGCGACGGCGGATCTGAAAACGCTGGCCTCCTTCCCGATCAAGGTCTTGACCGCGTCCAGTTCCAAGGCGAAGGAAGTGAGAGAGGACATTAACCAACTTGTTATGTCGGCGCGAGGGACGGTGTGGGAGGTTGCGGCGAACGAGTGTAACGCGAGCTTGTACGACAGTCTGCCGCTCTTGCTGCAGGTTGCGAACGCTACAAAGAAGGAGGAGTACGACATCGCGCGCGCGGGGCTCTCCGCCCTGCGCACGCAGACGGCGGACTGCGCGGAGGCGCTCTTTGCCGCTCTCAACTTGTCTGTCGAGGTCTCCTCGTCGGCTGACTCTTTCAATGCGACCTTCGATTCGGTGGAGTGGTTGTTTAACGGAACGGCGGGCGCGACGCTGTATAATTCCACGGTCACGTTTGCTTTCCATTTATCTAACGCGCTGAATGTGATAACCAACGTGAGGGACAGGATTGCCAGCGGGCAGGTGGTTGTGGCGGGAAGCCGGCGGAGGTTGATGAGGAGGAGGTTGCTGGCGCAGGCGGACGTGGATCGCAGCGTGACCCCAGATTTCACCGTCGACCCGTCTGGAGGCGGCAATTTCAAGAAGATTCAGCAGGCCGTCAACGCTGCGGTGACGATGAGGGCGGAGAAGCCGGACGATCGGATCGTCATAAAGATCAAGGCGGGTTTGTACAGAGAGAAGGTGTTCGTTCCCAAGGAGCTGTACATGCTGACGATCATCGGAGAAGGGCCAACGAGGACGAAGATTCAGTGGGGCGACTACACCAACCCTAATTACACGACGGGGCTGAAAACCAGCAACACGTCGACCTTCGCTGTGGAGGCGCTCGGCTTCCTGGGCATAGACTTCGCCATCGAGAACGACGCGGGGTGGTCCCAGAAGGTGCAGATGGCTGTGGCGTCTCGGGCGTCCCTCCGCACTCTCGAACTCTCGCCGGGCAAGCTGGGCTCCGGAGTGGCCGCCTTTGTCAATTGCCACTTCCTCGGGCAACAGGACACTCTGTACGCGCACTCCGGCTGGCAGTACTACTACCGCTGCCTCATCAACGGAACGGTGGACTACGTGTTCGGCAACGCGGCGGCGGTGTTCCAGTCCTGCTCTCTGAACAGCCTCCGGACGAACGGGACAAACACAGTGACGGCACAAGCGCGAACGAGCAAGGACGAGGACACTGGATTCGTGTTCCGCCATTGCGACGTCGATCAGCGCACGACCAATCAGTCGGTGTACCTGGGTCAGGTCCACCCCTACCGCCAGGTGTACCTTGGCCGTCCGTGGAAGCCGTACGCTCGAGTCGCCTACATGTTCTGCTATCTCGGCGGCATCAACCCGGAGGGCTGGATGAGATGGACCTTGGTTGGAAAGGGTGCTGACAATCACGAGACGGCGGAGTTCCTCGAGTACCGCAATACAGGTCCGGGATCGGCAACGGAGCAACGCGTATCGTGGAGCCGTGTCATGTCCGACGACGAAGCCCCTGACTACACCGTGGAGAAGTTCATCAAGGGAAAGAAATGGCTTCCTAGCCTTGGCATAGACTCCGACATCTGGGCGTGATCATCGCCAACGGTATCCGCGTTCCTTCCCTTCATTGCTACACATTTGGCGTTCTCAAGTAGACGGAACTGAAAATAAGGTTAGTACGGCGCTCAGATGCACTCCGACGACGGAGATCGAGCGTAGCTTTCGCACCCACCACTTGTAGGTAGACGTACGAATCAAACTCTTCTGTGAATCTCTTCATCGCTGTCTCTCTCTCTCTCTCTCTCTCTCTCTCTCTCTCTACGTGTTGTCTTTGTCTTGTTAGTTTGGTCCTTGAGTCTTCTGTGTTAGTTCGTGTATCTGCTCTGCTACGTTTTTCCTTTTCCTTCTGCTTGTCTATTTCTCTACACTCATTCGAGCTTGTTAAATATCGCAGATGTTTATGCGTAAACATGGCTTTCTATTTGTCTGTGCGGCGCAATTTATCACTAATTTACCTCTAGTTTATTACAATTCGTTAGTCTTATTGATTAGACTTGAGCAGTACTAGAGGGCGATGAGCCTTGTTTTTCGGTGGCCCGTCGATCAGTCGGTGGAGATTAGCCCAGCTCTATCATCTATGTATGCCTCGGTATGACGCCTGGATATTACCGGTCGATGCGGAAGTGTCTTCGGGGGATTCAATGAATGTGGACGGTATATTGAAGTTTAACCGTTGGGGTAAGGTAGTGTCCGTCTTCGGTGGATTCAGTGAATGTGGCCGTTAAATTTAAGTTAACCAATGAGTTAAGATGAGGTTGGGTTAAGGTGAGGTGTTAGAGGAGTCGTGAAGTGGTTAAGCTCAGCTTTTGGATCGTTTTTTTTTTTTTAAGGTTCGGTTGCGTTTCTTTGCATATACTGTTAGGTTGAAGATGGTATGTCTTCGACGCAAATTCAGTGAAGCCAAAGCCAAATGGAGGTGTGGCTTCAACCAGAGCGAGGGAGGGAGGGAGGGAGGGAGGGAGGGAGGGAGGGTAGACATCGTTTTCAGATCAATTGATTGCTTTTTATTCTCTTGGGGTCTTGTGTTTGCCAGTGGGTGTCATGGCGAAGTTATTACCCGTACTAAGATATTTTCCTTCTTTTTCAAGATTAATTTTGCTGCTCTTTTCAAAATTATTCTCTTATTGTTTGGATAACGCAGCTCTGAGCGGTATACAACCCGCGATGTACATGTCGATGGTTTCCAGCTGTATACAGATGTCAGCAATATCTGCTTTTCCTTACTAGAGATCTCTTTATAATTACAGTAAAGTAATTTCGGAATCTCCGGTCTGTCATTCGGCGATGCTTGGAGCCGTCACGCTGCTGCTCTACCCGGAAGTAGTCGAGTATAATAATGGAGACCAGCCTTCAGTACGAGTTGTGTTAGCTTCGACAATACGTAACTGATGGACGAAAACCAATTAAAATGATAACTGATAGAGATTTTTCTTAGGCCTCTCGAGCCGGTAAGTAGTTTGAAATTCGATTTCTTGCGTTCTCAATTGCAAGACAGTCTAAGCAACGTAATAAGTTAATGACAAGGATGGTGAAAAATCCGGTGTTGCCTGCGAGGCCTGCCTCTCCGTGATCTGGCGAACTGTTGTGCGTCGAGCATTTTGGATTTAAATGTCATGGAGAGAGAGAGAGAGAGAGAGAGAGAGAGAGAGAGAGAGAGAGAGAGAGAGAGAGAGAGAGAGAGAGAGAGAGAATTTTCTCGGTGTATTAACCTATGGAGAAAAGAAAGTAATAAAGTGCCGATCAACCTAGCAATCCCTCTGTTCTTAGTCGTATGGTTGTTTTCTCGATGCCTGTTGTCCGTGTTGCTCTCCTCGCTTCTTTTTTTTGTTCTTGTTGTATGGACATTGCTTGCTATAATTGTTGCGTGAAGGTGCTGAACTGGTCCTTTTCTGTTGTCCTTTTTGCCTTGGATGTTCCTCGAAAAGAGGAGTACGTATGGAGTAAGTAGACACAGAGGGGTAATATCTTTTTGAGGTAGGCAAAGTGGTGCTGGAATGACACGACTCATGACTGTGATAATGTGTGTGATTGATTGTTCGATCGGGATCCGAGTCTGGATTATCGGTTGGATCCTGTTCATAATTGGGAACTGTGTGGAATTCATGTTGCACGTGCAAGGGATTTCATATCGGTTGGCGACTGTTCATAATTGGGAACTGTGGGGAATTCATGTGTCTGTAAATACGGTTAGATACTTGCAGGGAAGTTCATATTCTAGTCTGGACTTTGTGTCGGAATAGTAGTCCACTAGTAGTCGTGCGTGTGCAGCTTACTAGCAAAGGGCAGCTCGGCTGCCGTGAGCCTGTACGGCAGTGGCGATTTATTTTTATTTTTATTTTTTGTGACGAAAGTTGTCTATATAAACGCAGTGTTCAGGTTTATTCATTTATTAACGAGTACTTATAAAAGATATTCTTGTTAAATTAATATTAATATTACAAAAGACAATAGGCGCCGGTTTCACTGACTCGATGTTTTTTCGCTCTCCAATCCCACCCGCTAGTTTTTATTTTCCCCTTCGGATGTTTTTTTCTCCTTCTCCTAACGATGTTCTGTTTTTTTTTTTTTTTTTTTTTTTTTTTTTTTTTTTTTTTTTTCAAAAAACAAGGTTTCGGTTGATTATCAGTCCTTTCCCTTCCGACGCGTGGTCTTTCGTTTCTGTTGTTAATATTCTTATGTTTTTTTTTTTTTAGATCTTCTTTGTATCCGACGTATTATTAATTTCGGGGACTCGCCAGGGGTAACCCGGACCGCCAAAAAAAAATTAAAAATTAAAAATTGAGGCATGGGGTCTCAATCAGGTGAGCGATCTCCTAAAATCGGACGCTGACGGACAGAGGATGGCTTTCGCAAGTGTTTCCTTTTTTTTTGTTTTTGTTTTGGGTCCGTTTCTCGATTTATGCGTGTTATCCTCTCGCTGGGGCCATGGTTATCTTCTCTGTATCGTTTCATGTTGAAGGATGTGGCGCAGGACACGTTTTTCCTCTCATTGGGGCGCTGGCAAACGGTGGGAAATACGATCTTTTCGATGTTCCCTGGCGAAGAAACCTAAATAGCAAAGACCGAAGTTTTTCCTTTGATTGGGGCGCTGTCAAATATTGGGAAATACGATCTTTTCAATGTTCCCTGGTAAAGAAACCTTGACAGGAAAGACCGTGGACCGGGAAAGGGATTTTGAGGCGATCTCTCTGCCCTTCTGCCATGGACAGTGACACATTCGCCAGCAAAGATTGAAATCGGGGCATTTCACCGATTACGCCTCTTGGCGATAGGCGCTGAAAGGACTACTGGGGGCTCTGGCGTTACTTAGAAATATCCCATCACGTATAAAACCAGGTGAAGTTGGGAAGAGCATGGTGAAGCAGTGTGAGGGTGCACATAGGAGCAGCAGGTGGTCGAGTACGGTTGGGATGGAAGGAAAGAATATCATTCACTCATCCCAGCTCGTCGGGGGAAACCGTCGAAGTAAACAAGCAATAGCAACCTTCTCGTTTTGCACACTTGGTGCGTGGTGCGGCGAGGCGGTGCAGCGTAGAAGCGCTGCATCATGGTGCAAGGAGGTGATTCTCAGAGAACAACACGCGCGTATGGGGGAATCCTGAGTGCTTCCCCCCCCTCAAGAATAAAGATCCTGACTGCAGAGCTGAGGGCGTACACTCACTTGTCGCTATGTTAAATGTACCTGACCGCATTTACTGCCGGGCTTATGTGCATCTCGTCGGAGTTCCCTCCAGAAACAAGTAAAGAACGTGCTTGTGTGAGTATGCCCTGAGAACTGATGATAATGTGGCGATCTCCTCTTCGTCAAACTTGTTTACCTGTATGGGAAGTCCTGTTGAGGTCCCAGGCCTCTAAACCAGTTGATGAAATGGAAATTTGAACTTTGACCCCAATGAAAATTACCCCTAAGAAAGGGAAACCTAGGGCGCTGTCACGTTTTCGGTTTGAAAATGCGTTTCAGTTTCGATTTCGCGAGTGCTCTGTCAAACCGAGGAAAATCGTGAATAATATGAAAAAAAGAGAGTTGGTGGGGATGTGTTGTATTCGAGGGATGGCTTGAACAGGATTTAAAACTTCAAGTTAAATGGTTGTCAGTGACCTTCCCAGTCTTACCACGTATTCGAGGGAGAGAGTGTGCAAAATGAGAATGGCTCTTCCGCTTGAAAATGAATGTGCCAAATGAGAATGGATCTTCTGCCTAAAAATGGAAGTATACAGCGCCATAATTTAATTTTTAATTTTTGTGTTTTGTGCATTTGGTGAGCAGTGCGGCGAGGACCTCTGAGTCGTGGAACTGCGACCGGTCGAACAGCTATCTCCGTATTTTAGACCGTCGATCAGAGAGGGTGGTAAGCATTTCGGCACGTCGCTGTGGATCAGGGGTGAGGTCCCTTTCGCCAACGGGATAATTTATTGGATTAAGCGGCAGAATCTGTATGGGTTTTCGGCCCAGGTGCAGGAAGCCAGATGAAATCCCATCCTCTTTCGTGGTAGCGCCTCGCCGCATAAGGAATCTGAGAACGTCGATCAGAAAGGCGTAGAGGGCGTGTTCACACCAGGCGACCCCAGGGGCATCGCCACACCACTCTACATGTGCAAAAGGAGAATGAACTTCCCGCGAAAACATCGGCAGATGCGCCCGCCACAGTTCTGTCTTTAGTCTTCGCATTTTGACTATAGCGTCGCGAGGGCCTAGTTCTAGTCCTTCATGTATCTGACCGCATGTATAGCCGGACCTGGATGCACCTGATCGCATTTTCGTCCTTAGTTAATACAAAAAGTTCCTACCTTTCTCGTCGACCTTTTAGCCAAGATGAAGCGTAGCATCTGTTCTGGTCAGTTTAGTATCTTATATGATTCTTATCCTTGGTCTATAGGACCGTAAAACAAAAAAGTTTCGTCCATAATAATTGAGTACAAGTGTTGTTTCCTGACGACCTTTTTATTCTGCCCGAGTGTTGTTTCCTGACGACCTTTCTCATTTAACTAGTGTTTTTTTTATTGTAGAACGCATTTCATTATGGGCTACGAAACCGCCCCAGCGTCCCTTACATCATATGCTGCCCTGATGATCTTAGACCGTAGGTTCCGTCTCTATCGACGGTTGCCCTGGACTAGAATATTATACGGTGGGTTGGAAGACGGCGTCGTATCTGCTTGGTGCGGTGACAGATCTTTCGAGTGTTGTTTTTCGTTTGTAATTGGTGGTCTTCGAACAGTAGTTTAACGTCGTTGTTGTGGCCTTGTGGCCTGATGGATCACTCACTGATCACGTTTTAATAGACCTGATTGGAACAGAGGCTTAGCTGAGTAGATAGGGGCCGATTTAATAGACCACCTGGTTTAATATAGATAGGGGCCGTTTTAATAGACCTGTTTGTGAATGGGCCGTTTTAATAGACCTGGATGTGAACGGACGTCGGAAGGGGATAGACTACCGTCCTTCCTCCGAACAAAGGGCACCCCTTTTTGTTTTTAATAGCAAAAAACACCCTTTTTTTTTGTTTCTTTTTTTTTTTTACGAAAAAACACTCCCGCACCGGTTTTAGTGGTGCTGATAAGGGTAGACACCACTAGCACCCTGATAATGAATCTATAGGTGAGAGGCTCCATCTCCATCTATTGCTGCTGGAAAGCGGGTCCAGCGTCCCTTATACAGACTGAAACACAGGGCACCCTGATAAGGAATCTGTAATGAATGTGGACGGACTTATCTTTCCGGGGCATCCTGATAATGAATCTGTACTGCAATGAATGAATGTGTACAGACTATCGTTCCGTACAGGAAAGATGAGTCAAAATGAGGGTGCATTGTGCTCGGGGGAAGACGGAAACACTAGAAATATGAAGACCCGAGCATCTGAGGGAAATGCCCTTTGTCAGTCGCGTGTGTCATAGGGCCTCAGCCGCGAATCTGCAAAATGAGAATGAAATTTCCCAGATCACTCGCCAAATCCGCGAAGGAATAATTTGCAAAATATACCCCCAGACGTCGAGATATATGCCAAATGCCGGTAAAAGATTGTGGGCAGATCGGAATGCCCCTCTGACAAAGAAAACTACTTTGTGAAATGCCCCTGGCGGCGTCGGTTGGACCCCCATCTGCCTGTGCAATGTACCCATACCGGGTACGGTCGAACTTTGCAAAATTCCCCAGTACTTGCCAACTCCGCCTGGGCACAATTGCAAGCAAATCCAGATTAAATTAAAAAGTTGCACGACGGGCGCCTCGTTGGAGGCTTGAGCACGGGTGTGGCTGCTACGGGGTTCCCCGTAATACTCAATGACAATAAAAAAGGCCTGAAAGGCCGTCCTGTCCAGATTTGACAGGTAATTGAAGTGGTTGGGCTTAAAGAATTAGCCTTAGCCCGAAAATGGAATCCGCCCTGCCGGCATGCTTGAGTGGTATATAGGGGTGTTTTGTAAATTATCCCATCTGCCAAATGAGAATGAATTTTCTGGTACAATTTGGAACGTAGACCGCCGTAATTTCTGTCTGTTGCACATCTATTAGTGAGTGGTGAGTGGCCACTCCTTTTATTATTATTATTATTAATTATTATTATTATTATATTATATATTATTATTATATTATTATTATTATTATTATTATTATTAGTATTATTATTATTACGACTCTCAGGGCATACTCAAACTAAGACTTTTTGTACTCGTTTATTGTGGACGTAATTGTGGTCAGATGCATCCTGGCGGGGTCGGAAATGCGATGAGATACATTTAAGATGG